ACCAGACAGAAAAGACATAGCAACCACTAATACCAAATGTATAAGAAATACCTTTAGAAGTAAGTCAGCCAAACAATCCAGGAAGCACAACTAAGTGATCTCCAAAGGAATCCTCAATATAAAGCAGTGGTTCCTGATCTTCGGTACCTCAGGTGTTCTTGCACTGCAACTTCCAGAAATCCTGGAGCACAGCTGATGATGAAAACTTCAGGGAGCTGCACTCCAAGAACAACTGGGTTACCCAAGGTTGGGAACCACTGATATATCTTGCAAGTGGAAAGGATACAGTGGTTAGATGAAGATGAAGAGATAGACGAGAGCGTGAAGAGTACCTGTCCTGGATTGCCTCTGAGTTTGTGTTATGGGGCTCTACTCTAGAAGGCAGGCGCCTAGGGGAACAAGCAGAGCAAGACAAGGTTTTCATATCTCCCTTACATATATTGTTTATGTATCTGAAATCTTTTTCCACCTATTTCCTGTTTCTTCAAATGTATCCTCCAAACACCTGGGGCAAAATGTACCAAGAGACTTTCATGGAAGTAATTAGACTCCTTTGTTGATAGACCACTTAGCATTTCCTGTCAGAATTCTAGGAGTGCCAAGAGGAAGCCACCTTGATTGGCCAGAAGTGGAGCAGAACATACCAAACAGTTTATGAACAAAGAGGGTGAATCACTTGCTTATAACTTTCTGAGCCCAAAGCTCCAGTCAACATAATGGGAGTAGCAGTTAAGCTCTAATATAGTACTGGCTTCTGCAGCTAGGTGCAAAGAAATGGCCGAAACAAGGAGTGGGGCGTTTTCTTTCTCTGCTATTCTCCATTGTGACATCTTCTTCATTTAGAAGTGCATTATCTTCTGCAACTCTTATTTTCAATGTGTGGAGTAGAAGCTAATCTTGGGCCCCTACAGGAAACCCACCAAAATGCTTGTGTGATGCAATGCACCCCCCGTTTTTTTACCGTGTTTCCTCTTTGTTTGCTCCAAAAACCCCATAAGGGCTTATTTTCAGAGGATGTTTTATTTTTGTTCATGTACAACAATATACATTTATTCAAATACAGTCATGTCATCTTCTTCTAGTTGCTGAACAATGATGGAGGGTAGGGTTTCTCTTGACTGGGGCTTAATTTGGGGGTAGGGCTTAGATTACGGGCATCCTGAAAAATCATACTAGGCCTTGTTTTCAGGTTAGGTCTTATTTTTGGGGCAACAGGGTATGTTCTGCCAGTATATAAAACACAGGGACTTGCAATTATACAAACAGAATCAGAGGCTACTTTGAGCAGAGTTACTCAACCCTCTTAAAAAGAAATAGCTCCAAGTCAACTTTTCTGATTATTTGTTAGTCAGTGCAGAGACTGAGACTTTTGTAAATATGCGCATTTAAACAAAAACTGGTTTGAAATTAAATGTGTCAATAGCATGAAACCTTAAGTTGGCAAGGGATCACGTTCATTTATTTATTTATTTATTTACTTACTTACTTACTTACTTATAATTCAATTGGGGCATGAGGCAGCTACCAATAAATTGGGTGGGGACACCCCACAATTTTTAAAAGAATCAAACTAATTTTTAGATGTCTAAAAGCAATTAAAACCAAACAGGAAAAACAGGGGGAAAGACAGCAAATTATAAATCTCCTTTACAGTCAGCTAGCTTGACTGCTAGAGTTTTGCCATGAAAGAAAAAGGCCTTTGCTTACTGGTGGAAAGGCATAAATAATGGTGTCAACCTCCCTTGAAAAGGAGCTCCACAACCGGTGAGCAGTCACCAAGCCAAGCTTCTCTACCACATGTTAGTGACATTACTCCTGTTAGAAATGGGACTGGCTCATACAGTCATGATGGTAAAACTTCCATATCCACCACAATGGCTCAGACATGGTTCTCTCTATTTTTACACTTATACGTCTTTTATATATTGCTTTCTCAATACATCACTTCACACATTCAACTGCTAAGTAAACAAGGATTTGAGAACAGATCAAGCTGCTGAGAATGCCAGATCTGAAAATAAATTTGGTTGAATTTTCCATGTCCCATAAACAGCATGATATTCTGAGAGAAGTAGGATTTCATCTGACACTGATGTTACCAAGATTGAACTTTGAATCTATTTTGAAAGCAAAGACCTGTCCCTTCTGCATATGAAATAAGATTACCTCAGAACATAGCATTATAGCTGAATTACTCAGTCTCCCCAGTCATATTTGCTCAAACATTAAGGATTCTTGTTCTTTGAGTGTAACTTCCAGTTAATCTTAAGCGCAGACCTTTTAATTTATTTGTTTTGACAGTTACCTACAGTAGAATAAGCCACTGTTCAGAAGAACCAAGGCTGTAAATTTGCATGGAAATAGGTTCCATTAAACTCAGAAAGGACTTATTTTTTAGCAAGCACGCAGAAAAGACAGTGCTATGAAAGGCAGGAAATATGAAGTAGGAAGCAGAAGCAATGCACAGCTCATGCAACAGAGAATGCTATAATCCATGAGCAACTCATTATCAAACATGGGGGGGTGATTCCTAAAATTTTGCTACAGTTGTAACATTATAGCAATAATTTGCTCATTAATTCAGGTTGGTGTAGATGTAGTGGACTGTGCATAGAAAACACACAGTAATATGGTTATTAAAAATAAATATAAATGAATAAATTCCAAGCAGGTTAGATATCTGCTGGGGTAACTCCAGAAAAACTAGACTGAGGGAGTAAAGGAGTAACAAACACCATTATGTTGCAGAACAGGGGTTTTGCTACACACATATCAGGCAGATATTGTGCCATTAAAAAGTAGGGTTAGCAAGGTTATAGGGGGGCATTGCTCCTTACTACCTGTTGGAGACATGCCTGATCCCTGAATTTAAATTTCTGTCATACAAAAGCTGATAGTTTTCCTGTTGTTGGATTAGAAGGAAAGGCTATGTGTAAAATCTCTGTTACATTTTATTCATTCACATTTAAAATAGGATAAATGTGGCAGTTTGACTAATTCACTTATTGGGCTAAATCTGCCGTTAGGAAGCAGATGATGAGGGAAAAATATTAAGATGCCCAGCGAGCAACATGTCAACAGACAAGAGTGTTGATCCATCAGTCCCTGCCATTTCCTAGAGGGGACGATGGGAAGAGGAGAACATTTAAAAGGACGATTCCTTTCCAACAAAATCTGCCCCCTTTCCCTCCTCCTATCCACCCTAGGAGGGAGAGTCAGCGATTCTGACAGAAAATCCACAGAGGAAACCTGAGGGACAGCTGCACCTCTGAACGACTGGCAGCTGATTTTGACTCTTTCCCTAGCTAGCCCTACTCCTTCCCGCCTAGGCAGGCAGGCAGGCGGCTGGCTGGCTTCCTTCGTAACCACCGGCAGTCAGGGCACCCACAGTCTTGCCAATTGGTGTGTCTGTCTGTGTCTTGTCTTTCCTACAATTGCCGACATTTCCCCAGGTAAAAGGAAAGGTGTCTCTCTATGTGATGCCCGCGTGTGTAGAGCAGGGACCCAAGCAGGTCTCAGCACTATGCCGATGCAGCAGAAACCCTGAACCAGAGCGGAGTGCGGAGGGGTGGCAGCACGCTGGCGGGAGAAGCCCTTGGCCGTGGTGGAAAGGAAACGCCGTCTCGGCCAAGCCCCCCCCCCATGAATGGCAAGGAGAGAGCCTGTGGAACTCCCCTTTCCGCCGCCACCCCTCCACACACACAACACACAACATACACACACACACACAGACATAGACACACAGACACACACAGACACACACACCGGGATGTCCCCTCATGGCAAAGGACCTACTAGGCATGCAAGGTGTGTGTGTTTCTTTCCTTCTTTCCAAATCGAGGCTTCTGTGAAGTACTCTTTTTTTCTAAAGGAAATAAGCCCCCCTTTCTTTTTCTTTTTATTAAAAAAAAACCAGAGCTGAGTAGGACTTGAAAGGGGGAACGACGTTTTTAAAAGCAAGCCAACAAACCAGGACTCTAGGGATGCAACCCCCTTCCAAAAGCAGATTGAGGGAGGGGGGTGGAGGGGGGAGGGCGAGGG